GGCTGTCCCTCATCAAAAGTCTTCCCCTTGTAGCTTTAGACTTCTCGTTTCTCTAAACATCCCCCCAAATTGCCATTGGCATCCCCATTCCTAAGCTGGAAAAATCCTTTGACTAAGAGAAAAAGCGTTAAAACTAAAAAACTGATTCACAGAAAAGACGTTCTTTTGTCTGGAAAGGCTAGAAACTAAGCTCATTCTAATGGAAATTTGTTAATGGCTCACTAAAACACCATTTTTGTGCCCACAGATTTTTGTAGGTGTCTCTTTTGTGACTGCATATATACCGTTTTGAGATTTTGCAATTTGAGGCCAGGGGGCAATGTAAGTGATGCAGGATATTTTCTTGACCCCTTCACCGGACTCATGAAAGGGATTCCCTGTTTACTCACCCTGCCCCACTCAACCCCTTGAAGAAAGGAGTGCGCAGGCAAACAAGCAGAGGAACTGGCCAGCTGCTTTAGCACTGGCAGGAGCAAACTCACCACGGCAGCATCCAGGTGGGGGTGCCTGCAACCCCAAAGCCCCAGAGAGTGAGTTACAATGCTCTTTTAGCTCTGCTGTCCTCAGACAGCAGTGTGTTATCAGCTCGGTGGGCCCTTTGCCTCATCATATGGGCTGGCTGCCCTCTGTCAGCAAAGGCAAAGGGCCAGTGTGACAGCCTTTTTGGGTCTCTGTACTTGTTGTGTCCTGAATTCTCATCTGGTGCCCAGAAAGAATGAGGTCATGCAGAGAAAATGACGGCTAGTGAATGTAAGAATTTACTAAGCAGGCTAGTGAATGTAAGAATTTACTAAGCAATGAAAGCAGCTCTCAGCAGAGAGGGGAGGTGGAGAGGGGATGGAAAGGGCAGGTTGCTGTCCCGAGAAGTCAAATCGCTTCTCTGCCAATTCAGCCACCATCTCTGAAGTGGAGTTGCCTCTCTTCAATGTCCACCTGCTTCTCTGTCTCTCTCCCTGCCAACTAAGTCTGGGGTCTTTATAGGCACAGGATGGGGGTGGGGCAGACCATAAGTAGTTTTGGAAAAGGCAACATTTGATAGGTAAAAAAGATGTTATTCAGAAAGAACCAGTTGGGAAAGAGCAGGTACACAGGGATAGATCACTTTGGACCACAGGTTTCAGGGTTTTCAGCTGGAAGAGGGGCTTTGCTGGGGATCTGCTCCTGTCTGCCCAGAATTTCTCTGCCTCTCTCTGTCATAAGTGTATATTATATTAGTATAGAAAATAAAGTTTTTTTAAAAAGAGTAAGAAATGCAAATGAAAATACAATAAACTTTTTACAAAATGCTAATAATAAGACCAATGCATTTTGCCTTATCAATAAGTGTGTTTGTGCAGATTGAGAGGGCTTTATTTTGTTAATGAACAGTTTCTGTGCATAAAGATGCTGCTCATTTGTCTGCCCCACCCCACTTTTGCCTCCTTTCCTTCGGCAGTGATTTCTCTGGCCCGGTTTCGGCTGTCAGTCTTTCAATGGCCACTTTGTTGGAAGGTCACTTTCCTAGATCCTGGTCCTCTGCTATCAGGGAAAGCTGGCTGGAAAATATTTTTGTGGAGCTAGGGACAGCACTAGTGTCCTTGGAGCTGCCTAATGTACTTCTCTATCTGAGACAATGAAAACCCGATTAGAAAAGCTGCCCTGGCTTGGATGTCTCTGCTCACTCAGTCAGAAGACTTTGTATACTTGACAACAACGATTCTATAAGTTGATTGACTGCTTCTAATTGACTTGGTGCTTCTGGGTTCATTATAGAAATGATATCAGGCCAGGCACGGTGGCTCATGCCACCTAGGACTTTAGGAGGCCGAGGCGGGCAGGTCACCTGAGGTCAGGTGTTTGAGATCAGCCTGGCCAACATGGTGAAACCCTGTCTCTACTGAAAACACAAAAATTAGCAAGGTGTAGTGGTGGGCACCTGGTAATCCCAGCAACTCGGGAGGCTGAGGCAGGAGAATCACTTGAACCCGAGAGGTGGAGATTGCAGTGAGCCAAGATTGTGCCACTGCACAGCCTGGGTGATAGAGCGAGATAATAGTCAGGACTCTGTGTTGCAGGTACCCAGAACTCTCGGCTCAATGAGTTAAGCAAAAGAGAAAAAAATTGAAAGTGTAAGGGTAGAGTCAACTTTAGGCATGTCTTAATCCAGGGACTTGTTTGGGGACCCTCTTATTTCTGTCTGTCTCTCATCTCTGCTGTCTACTAGGCTGGCTTCTATCTCAGGCCTCATGTTTGCCCCCTGGCTAGTAATTGCTAGCAATACTTTCAGAAAAAACTTTGAAGCTCTTTCTCAATATTATTAGCAAAGCTTCCTTGTATCTCACTGATTCTCGTTAGGCTATGTGATCATCCCTGAACCAGTGACTATGGACAGGCAAATCTTCATTGCCTCTAACACAGAGAATTCCTCATCACCTCCTTATAGCCAGACTGAAGCTTCCAAGGACATTCAAGTCAGCAAAGACTGTGACCATTCTGAACATTTAAAAGAATCCCTCTAATTGGCATACACTTTTTCTTCAAGACTCTGTCTCAAAAAAAAAAAAGTGAAGTGGATGCTCCCAGTGTCCTGCCCAGATCCTCAACACAAGGCCAATGCATCCATCTTCCAGCTCCCGATCCATAGCTCCTACTGCATTCTTCTCTGTTCAATCACTTGCTATTGATAGGAGCCTTCTTACATGGTCATGCCTGGGGAATCATGTCCATCTGCTGAGAGTGGCCGTTAACCTATGTCTAATGGAGATGGGGTATTAAGCCCAGCTCCCTGGCTTCTGAGTAGGACAAACTGTGCTATAATTCATGTTCCAAAGTGATCAGGCTTAGCCCAGACTTCACCTGACCACTTCTTTACATCCTTTCCTGTCTGCCTCTTCTGCTTCCCTTAATGCGTTACTCCTTCGTCCAGAGAGCATGCCCTTAATAAAACACTGGCACAGGATTTTCTATTGCAAGCTCTGCTTCCAGACAACAAAGCCTATGACACACCAAAATAACAGAAGCAGGCCAAGTAGCAAAAACAACAACCAATCCGAAGAATGATGACGATGATGACAATAACACCATGTATCGAGGACCATGACATGGACTGGCTTTATGCTAGATGTTTTACATATGTTTGTTTATAGTCTAACTACAGCCCCGGTAAATTATCATCATTCATTATACTTTGCAGAAGAGGAACGTGGGGCTTAGAGAATGGAATTGAACTGCCCAGGCTCATATTGCTAGGAGTCAGCCAAGCTGCACAGGAAACAACTATCACTTGCTGCCAGTGGCTGCCGTTCAGAAACCAGTTCAGAATAGAACTCTCCTGCCTCCTTTTATCTACAATATCATGGGTTGTTTGTTTGTTTTTTGAGATGGAGTCTCACGTTGTTACCTGGGCTGGAGTGCAGTGGCGCAATCTCAGCTCGCTGCAATCTCCGCCTCACAAGTTCATGCGATTCTCCTGACTCAGCCTCCCAAGTAGCTGGGATTACAGGCGCACATCACCACACACAGCTAATTTATTGTATACTTAGTAGATATGGGGTTTCACTATGTTGGCCAGACTGTCTTCAAACTCCTGACCTTGTGTTCTGCCTGCCTTGGCCCCCGAAGGTGCTCGGATTGCAGGCGTGAGCCAGCCCACCCGGCCTGCAATATTATGTTCTTAAGCATGTCATATGTATTGAACACTTTGCTAACACTTCATATGCATCATCATCTCATTTAATTCTTAGAACAGCCCTAAGGAGTAGACACTATTATCCCATTTTGCAAACAGAGACATGGAAAGGTTAAAGATCACCCAGCTAGTAAGTGGTACAGCAACTATCTGGATCTGAGAAATCCGACTTCAGGACCCATATTCCTCATCTCTCCTTTAATACTGTTATTAAAATTCTTCCAGAATGTCCTAAAATACTAAACTTCGTCTGAGCATAGAAAAACCAAAACAAAGAAGGTTTCTCTTTTCTTCTCCTGAGCACTGACCTCCTGCATGTGTAAGAAAGGAACGGCAACCTTGGGTCATCAATTCACAGCTCTTAATCAATTTAAGTCAGCTTCAACAATGGCCAGAGATGGACATGAAATTGTCTGTCTGCTCCATGTATTTACAATCCAGGGGGGGTAAAAACCTCTGAGAGTTGTGTTTAAAATTGGGATCCATTTCCTTTAGCTAAGCAGGAAGTTGTGGGGTTTTTTTTGGTTTGTTTGTTTTTTTAGTATTTGTCACAATTTGCCTAGTACTTTCTTGCTTGTCTGAATTTCCCTAAAAGTAAGCTCCATGACTGCCTAGAGCAGTATTATTGCATTCCCAATAGCTGGCTCTGTCATGGCACATAACTAATATTTTAAAAATATCTTTGAATATGTTTTTTTATTTTTTGAGATGGAGTTTCACTCTTGTAATCCAGGCTGGCATGCAATGGCGCAATTTCGGCTCACTACAACCTCCACCTCCCAGGTTCACACAATTCTCCATCCTCAGCCTCCTGAGAAGCTGGGATTACAGGCGCCTGCCACCACACCTGGCTAATTTTTCATATTTTTAGTAGTGACGGGGTTTCACCATGTTGGCCAGACTGGTCTCTAACTTCTGATCTCAGGTGATCCACCTGCCTAGGTTTCCGAAAGTGCTGGGATTACAGGAGTAAGCCACCATGCTCGGCCTTGAAAATGTTTTTTAAATGAAAGAAAGTAGCATCCACATCAGGCTGTGTGTTACTAATGCAGAAACTTCCTGTTAAAGGGGAGAATTAAATGACAAGGCTAGGAATCTACCAACTTCCCATGATTCTACCAGTGATTAAAAGCCAATTGTTTCATTATTTTGTTCTGTTCTGAGGCTTCCAGAACTTAATTCTGCCTCGTAAATTGAGATCAGAAAACCGGCAAAAAATTGAAATCCTCTGGGCCATTTCTCTCTTCCAGAGACTTCAGTCGCCATCAGCACTTTCTTAATGAATCTCCACTCTATTAAATTGTTATTGGGTCTCGAATTAGGTCATTTGTAGCCCCTCTTTTTCAGAACAGAAGGCAGACTGCGGAAAGGAACAGGGAAACAGAAAGAAGAAGGAGATTAAGATGTACTTTCCAGTGGTGGATCTGCATGTAATTAACTGTTTCTGAACAAAATGCTCTCACACAGTGGGGTCATACTGTCAAGGAGGTAGGTGGTGGGTGGTGGAATCTTCCTCTGTGGGACTGCCTAGGGATGGAAGGGGCAGAAAACCCAGGGGTGGATCCTCTATTTGGAGAACTGAATCTCTTGCTGCCAGGAACCTGGAAAATTTAAACTTCTTAAGTCAATTCAATTCAGTCAGGAACTAATTCCTCTTTCCCCCATCTCCCAATCACTATGCCAGATTGTGTTCCTGTCATGTTTCATTACCTCCTTTCAGCTGGCACCCCTGGTTCACACCTGTAATCCCAGAAGTTTGGGAGGCTGAGATGGATGCATCACTTGAGGCCAGGAATTCGAGACCAGCCTGGCCAACACAGTGAACTCCTGTCTCTACTATTTTTTCCATCTATTATTATTTCCATCTTTGTGTCCATGGGGGCCCATTGTTTAGCTTCCACTTATAAGAGAGAATATTCGGTATTTGATGTGCTGTTTCTGAGTTATTTCACTCAAGACATTCCAGGCAGAGGAAAGAACATATGCATCTGTCTCTCCTACCTCCACCAATGTCCCTGTGGTTTCTCTAAAGCCCAGATCTGACCATACCTCTCTTATTAGCTTTCTGGGATTCTCTGCCACCCAATTAATGAATTACATTTCTTTATTCTAGCAAGTTTCCAAATTGGGCTTTAATCTAGGCCCCCATCTTATTCCCAACTCCCTGACACTCTCTCCGACGTACCTGCCACTCCAACCCCTCTAATCTTATCCTATTTCAAACATACTACTCTGTCATATTTACACATCTTTTGTTAATTTTCTGTTTTGTTTTTTCATTTTAGATTTTTTTTATGTTTTATTTTTATTTTAGATTTTTAAAATTTTATTCTTTATTTTAGATTCATGGGGTACAAGTGCAGGTTTGTTACATGAGTATATTGCATAACGGTGAGGTCTGGGCTTCTGGTGAACCCATCACACAAAGAGTACACATTGTGCCCACTAAGCGATTTTTCAACCCTTGCCAACTCCCACCCTCCCCACTTTTGGAGTCCTCAGTGTCTGTTATTTTAATCTTTGTGTCCATGTGTAATCATTGTTTAGCTTCTACTTACCTGTCAGAACATGCAGTGTTTGATTTGCTGTTTCTGAGTTATTTCACTTAGGACAAAGGACATGCCAAGCAGAGGAAAGTGCATATGCAAAAGGTGCATAACCTTTGCACACTTTTATGGGTTTGGAATGTCCTTCCCTTCTTTCCTCTCTGGGGAATACTAAGTCATCATCCAAGGCCCCAAAGGCATATCCCCTCACCATTGCACTCCAGCCCAGGCATGAGAGTGAGACTCCACCTCAAAAAAAAAAAAAAAAAAAAAGCCTTATTTGACATTCCAAGAAGCAGCTCGTCCCTCTTTTTCTGGCTCCCATAGCACTTTTGCCAAATACTTCCAGGGCACTTGAATTTTGCACCACAATTGCGTTGTGTGTGTGTGTGGTTTTTTTTTTTTTTTTTTTGAGACATAGTCTTGCTCTGTCACCCAGGCTGAGTGCAGTAATGCCATCTCAGCTCACTACAACCTCTACCTCCTGGATTCAAGCAATTCTCCTGACTCAGCCTCCCAAGTAGCTGGGATTACAGGTGCCTGCCACCACACCCAGTGTCGGGGTCTGGCACATCTGCCAGGGGGCTACCGACCTGCGGGAGTCCCTGAGACCACCAACGTAGATGTCTCATTCAACCTGAGGGAGAGAGCGCGTGGAAGTGAAAGAAGATAGGAAAGTGGAGTCTGAAGGTCTGAGTGACTCACAGTCAAACAGCAACTTTATTTTTGTGGGTGACAGCTTTTATACCTTTTTTCTTGTTACATTTACTTTAGTTCAGCATTTACTTTAGCTCAGCAGAAAAGGGGACAAACAGAAAAGGGAACAGAAATCACGCAAAAATAGTTATCAGGGGCCTGTGATAACAGCTCACAAAGCAGTTTTAAGGGGGCTTGTGATAACAACTCACAAAGCAGTTTAAGAGTTAATCTATGTTTTTCGAAGATACACAGTGCAAACAAACAATGGTGCCCTTAAGGTGGCTTGTTAACTATGTTTTCCATCAGGAGGTAGAGCAAAGGCTCAGCTTCTGAGAAAATATGGGCAGGGGTCTTTGCCCCTCTCAGGCACCTCAACTGCAGCAAGCCTATTGCTTACACAGAGACTAAAGGGGATATGAAGCAGTCAGCACAATGTCCGCATAAACCGCAGGCCCTTACTCTGCATTCTGTTTTTGCCTCCGTGGCTTAGCCATTTTTACCTCAACTCGACAGCCCTCGAGAGTGGGGGGAGAGCAGCTAGGTCCAGCAGCCAAGATGGGGCGAGTCACACTAACTGTCTCAAGCTCTTGGTGTGAACACAACCCAGGTAATTTTTTGTATTTTCAGTAGAGACAGGGTTTCACCATGTTGGCCAGGCTGGTCTCAAACTCTTGACCTCAAGCAATCTGCACTCCTCAGCCTCCCAAAGTGCTGGGATTACAGGCATGAGCCACAGGCAGGCCCATAATTACTTATTAATGTGTCTCCCTAATAATGACTTGCTCAAAGACAGAAAGGATGGTTTGTTTGGCTTGCTATTGAGTGCCTTTTCTAGTAGTTCTTAACTGGTATTAACTTCACCACACCTCCAGGGGATATTTAACCATGTCTGGAGGCATTTTTGCAGTCACTATGGGGGGAAGCAGGAGTGTGCTACTTACTGGCATCTAGTGCGTAGAAGTCTAAGATGCTGCTAAATATCCAACAACGCAAAGGACAGTCCCTGCAACAAAGAATTACCCAGTCAAAAAGTCAGTAGCACTGAGGTTGGAAAATTCTGATTTATCAAGAGCGTTGTTATAGCAGGTAAATTGACCGGTGTATCTATTAGAGCAAATACATGTAGGAACTTCAGTTGTAGTTGATTTTGGTGTGAGAGAGTCCAGGTTCCATCCTTTGGAAGCCAACTCAGACACAGTCAAATATCTTAAAGTCCCAGGAAGCGTCTAAGGAAAACATCTGAGACATACATGTTCTTCAGTCCCTTTTATTGACCTGGGATTTTGAAGAACACTTAATGACATAGACATGGCAGAATATACAAACTAGGCGTATTCAGAAGAGAAGTTAGGTTTCTTTTTTTTTCTTTGCAGGAGCTACTGCCAATGCCTTTCCATATAGGCGGGAAAAACAGGAGATTTATCAGAGATGTAGGAGTTGCTGAGGAGAATGATCTCATGACTGTACTCCAGAATATTTCCAAAAGTGTTTTAGATGAGAAGTATGAATCATGCCTGTCTCCAAAGAAACAAAAGATATATTGTGTTAAGATCTTTTGAGCAAGATATTGAGAAAACCGTGGCTCAGGTAAAGGAAGATGTTGGCTAATAGTGAGTGATCAGAGCCCAAGAGATTTAGGAATACTTGTTGAATACACAAATTAACTAATGATAATTTTGCAAGAAGTTTTTCTAGATAGTTATATAAAATATAGGATCCAAACTGGGATACTCCAAAATGAAAGATAGTGCTATGTTAACATGAACCGATCATTTATAACAGGCTTAAACTGGGACTGTCCTAAGAAAATTAAACTAGCAATAATCCTATCAAAATACTGCATTTTATTTATTCTACTTAGGCCAAAGGGATCATATGCACAGTGTGCATAATGCCATTTCTTCCTCCCATGCCTGTAGCAGAGATTACTAATAGATTACAGCACAGTTCCCCTCTGAATTAGTGTGTGATCCTGAAATCTTTCTCAATGGAACTTCCCCACCCTTCTTTACAAAGTAACAGGCAATGGCATTAGACATCAGGTCCCTGCTATAGGCAAGCACCCCATTTTTTTACTCTACTCAGTTCCTCCCTGTCTTTATTCTTTGATTTCTCTCCTTGCTGAAGTTACCATTCTTAGGAATCTAGAATTCAGCCTTTTCAAATTCCTAGGAGACAAGGTCCTAGATACAGCAGTTCTTTTAGAGATAAGTTCAGCATTATTTGAACATCTTGTGCTTTTTAAAATAAATGTTTTATCAATTTGGTGTTTATGGCCAATTAGGCCTGATCTTGTTTTTAAAATTAATGGTAAATAAAATAATACCATCAAATGAATTTCAGCTTGTTGGAAGTTGTATGGTTTTATTAACATGGTGATGTTCTCCAAGGAGAGATCTGATTTTTATCTTAGCAAATATATCAGAGAATACCAATTTCCTTGGTTTGCAGATTCTGAACAGAATGGGATGAACCAAGAACAATGATGGATGAGCCCAAAGCTATAAACAACTATAGAGCTCATCTCTGTGAACATTGATGTCTAACCATTGGGAACATGGAGGACAAGAACTGGAGGTATGGCAAGAGCTTTTCAAGAATACACTTCTTCTATATTTCAGCCACAATGGAGATCAGTTATCTGGAAATAAGACTGACTGAAGGTATTCATTTTATTTAGCACCTACATATCCAAGTTGCTAGAGACTGATCTTAATTCTGGAATCTTTGTTCTAGAATTGCTATCCAGAAAATGCTTTGTAATGTGTGCCCCCTAAAATCTAACCTCAAGCCTTAAATCTAGACCTTAACTGAATCACTAGCCATGTAATTAAGCTTGCACTGTTCAAGAATAAATGTGGCATTTCATATTACTCAAGGTTGTTCATTGTAAATTAAATGTGCATTGCAAACTAAAATATCATTTTGCGTGTAACAAGTTTAGCTATCTTTCTTGCATCGATGACCTGTGAGTTGGATCTAGCCTGAGTATATTTTACTTGGTGCACATACTATTTTACAAATTATGTTTCAGAGTTTCCAAACTTTAAACAAAAATCTAAAAATTATGAATGTTTACATTTTTTAAAGCACACTTTAAAATTATACATATATATTTTTTAATTCTGGAAAAGTAGATCTAGCAACACTGAGTATCCACTTCTGTAAAACGCTGAGTATTTAGCAACTGTATTTATTTATTCAGTTCCTTCCTGGCCCCGCCAGGTATTTTAGTTTGCAACTCCTGGCTTAGTTTAACAAGTCAATCACAAAGGAATCAACCATGAAATTGAAGATGTAGTCACCCAACAGCATATTTTAATTTCAATTTAACATTAGCCAATGTTTCAGAGTAATGATGAACACTATCTAGCTCTTCCAACACACAACACACACATATACCATGGCCTCAGAATGAGTTCTATTAATTCAACCAAATAAATACTTACTGAGTACGTACTCTTTGTCAGAAACAATGTCAGGTGTGTTGATAATAACGTCAGCATAATTCTTGCTCTCAAAAAGCCCAGAGACAAGTAGAGCAAATACCCAACTGAATAGAAAATTGCAATGTGATCAAATAATCACTGGATTAGTCAGTGTATTATGGAAATTTTGATGTGAAGTTTGTTACCCCAATTTTTAAAATGTACAGAATCAGTCTAGGAAGCAAAGTTGGGTTGAATAAAAGCTGAAAACTTCCTGTCTCTTTGGGTTTGAAGAAGTCTTTGCAGATTTGGAGGAGACCTTTAAGTGACTCACTTAAGGTCCACGATTGACGTTACGTGCAGAACTAGAACTCAAGAACTGGGCAGGTTTTTTTGTTTGTTGTTTGTTTTGGCAGCAGAGATACTAATTCCCACTTAATGACTTGAAAAATGAATTGCCCCATTGCTGATAAATTTAGAAAACATTATTAGGACACATTTAGCTTCAGGACACTCCTAATATATGCTGATTTCTCTGATATTATGATGATGAAAAATGTGGGCTGAAAGATATTTCTGTCTTGTGGGCATTCATCTAGAATATCTGCCAAACTAATGATTATTTGTGTTCTTGAGAGTCAGCATGAAGTCAGTCTTTAGTTCAATGCCACAAGATCATCACATCGATCAAGGGCTTGGAGGAGGCTCTAGTGGTCATGCTGATCCAATTTATATTTGACAAAATTTGGAATAGAATAGCTAATCCTCAAAAAGAAGGAATTGAGAAAGATCTCACTAGACTGGAACATTGGGCACAAGCCAAAATATGGGTATCGACCAGGATAAATATTACCTTTTAAAAAATCAGTTGCTCAAGTAGAAAATGGAGAATATCTGGCTTGGCTGTGGTTCTCATGAGAAAGACCTGGGATGTGTTGGAGGCTCATGTGAGCCAAAAGTGATACAATGCCATAAAAAGACACCAAAAGAGAGAACTCTTTGGGTTAATAAATCAAATTGATTAAAGTAACATGGAGAATTTATTGGATCATGTATCTTGAAAGGCCAGTAGTGAACTCTAAATATTAGTAATGTTTTAATGCATAGCAACCAACCTCCAAATCTCAGAGGCTCTCAAGAGCAAACATTTAGGTCCATGGGGCACTTTGGTTTGGCTGAACCAAGCTGGACTCAGGACTTCTAGTTGCTTCTGAGGGCTCCATGAGTCTTCAATCTGGCTCCCACCGAGAGAGACAGTGGCAACTTGGGCAGGGTCATTTCATGGCTAACCACAGGAGATAAAAGGGCAAATGGAAATATGAATGCTTTAGGGTTTCTGCTTTGACCTAGCAAACATCACTCCTGCTTACATCCTGTTGGCCACAATAAATCACGTGACTAAGAGCACATCAGTGGAGCTGGAAAATCAAATCCATCCTGTCTATGAGGAGGTATTGTGGTTGCATGGTAAAGGTCACAGATGTGCAATTCTTTTTTTTTTTTTTTTTTAATGGAGTCTTACTCTGTTGCCCTGTTGCCCAAGCTGGAGTGCAGCGGTGCGATCTTGGCTCACTGCAACCTCTGCCTCCTGAATTCAAGCCATTCTCCCTGTCTCAGCCTCCCAGGTAACTGGGACTACAGTCACAGGCCACCACACCTGACTAATTTGTTTGTATTTTTAGTAGAGATGGGGCTTCACCATGTTGGCCAGGCTGGTCTCAAACTCCTGACCTCAGGTGATCTGCATGCCTTGGCTTCTCAAAGTGCTAGGATTACAGACGTGAGCCACTATGCCCAACCAATATGTAATTCTCTCTTCTTTTCTTTTTCTTTTTTTATTTTATTTTTTGAGATGTGGATTCACGCTTGTGGCCCTGGCTGGAGTGCAGCGGTACAATCTCAGCTCACCGCAACCTAACCTCTGCCTACCAGGTTCAAGCGATTCTCCTGCCTCAGCCTCTTGGGTAGCTGGGATTACAAGCACCCGCCGCCATGCCCAGCTAGTTTTTATATGTTTAGTAGAGAAGGGATTTCACCATATTGGCCAGCCTGGTCTCAAACTCCTGACCCCAGGTGATCCCCTCACCTTGGCCTCCCAAAGTGCTGGGCTTATAGGCCTGAGCCACCACATCCGACAAATGTGTACTTCTAATACAGAGAAGGAGTGATTCAGTCTCCCTCATTCTGACTAGAGTATGTCTGGATTCAGAAATTCAAATGATGCCAACAGGAATTTCCTTCTTCTCTCTGGTTTCCGCTATGTTGACTTTAAGTACCAAAGTTACCTATACTCACTGCTTACTGTTTACGTTAACATGAACTTACTATTCCACTGTTTTCATCAACATAATTTTACTGTTCCAGAAACTCTTGCCCAATAAGATCAAAGTTGAAAATAACTTTATTGTTCATTCAAGGAACTTCATGAAAGGCCTATCAGTTCTCTAACTGACAACATTTAAACAATAGTTTATAGCCTAGACTTTTAGAATCACTCATCTCACATCTCTCATTTCCCTGTATGTACCAATCCTTATTTTTATTTATTTATTTAAGCTGCAGTCTTGCTCTGTCTCCAGACTGGAGTGCAGTGGCACAATCTCGGCTCACTGCAGCCTCCACCTCCTGGGTTAAAGCAATTCTCCTGCTTCAGCTTCCCGAGTAGCTGGGATTGGAGGCACATACCACCATGCCCAGCTAATTTTTGTGTTTTTAGTAGAGACAGGGTTTAACCATGTTGGCCAGGATGGTCTCCAGCTCTTGACCTCATGATTTTCTCATCTCAGCCTCCCAAAGTGCTGGGATTACAGGCATGAGCCACCGCACCCAGCCAATCCTTAACTATTATATTGCAATCCTTACCAATTCTGAGTCATTGAATCAAAGTCACACCTCATATCAGACTCCAAAATCTTAATAAATGTCTCTATTTTGTCCTTACTCTTTTGAGATGCTACTGCCACTCTATCAAGGTAATACTCTTTCTTCTCAACTCAACTTTGTCTTATCAGCAGGTTGTTATGGGGAGCCAGCATTCCATAGCTTCATTCTACGCCACTAGACAGCAAAGATGACCACCAAACCCTTCAGGTTTATATTATTTATTAAAACAGAGCATCCCTAAAAGAAAAAAGCCAAAGCTGTTTCTTGGAAGCACCAGCAAAAGTCCTAGGTAAGGCTTTCATAGGCCCAGGTAAAATCACATGCCCAACCCAAATCAAGGAGTCCAGGCGGATATTGTGCTCTGATTGTCTGTGCCTAAATTCTTGGCTACTGCTGAAGGTGAGAATGGAATAAAACCTTCCTGAATCACATGGACTGAAAATAGAGGAGATATGGTTCCCCAGATGAAAATTGAGCGCCAGGAGAAGGAAGGATGGTTGTTGAGTAGATAAAAAATGACAAATATTTGCTATACTATTTTAGTCACCCTTACCAATACAAACTAGTAGGTCACAAATAAGAAGAGAAAGCTTAATTGCATTGTTTAATGCTGATCTCTACAGCATTAAACTATCATGTATCCAGCATTAAGCTATAGTGTATCCAGAAGACAGAGCACTACTAGTTAGGGAGTAAGCACCAGTTTAACAGAGTAGCCTCCAAAGTTTATCAGGAACAAGGGTGTGGCATCACAGAAAGATACTTGATCTTTATTCCTGGTTTACAGCACAGAGCTCCTAAAACCCTTTTAGGGTGATAGGAGCATCTTTGCTTTCAATGAGGTGACTATTGATGGGTTTCCAGATAGCTCTAGGGTGGGGCTAGTCCATTACTTTTATTGATGAAAACCACAGTTACTTTTGCACTGACCTTAACAATTGGAAGCTTGGAATGTTCAGCCTTAGGCCCCAACTCCCAGGGAGGGGAGAGGCACTGACATTGAATTAATCCCCAGTGGCCAGTGATTGAATCATCATGCCTCCATAAGGAGTCTCCATTAGACCTCTTCAACCACAGGGTTCAGAGAGCTTCTTTTTTTTTTTTTCCTGAGATGGAGTCTCACTCAGTCACCCAGGCTGGAGTGCAGTGGTGCAATTGCAGTGGCACAATCTTGGCTCACTGCAACCTCCACCTCCCGGGTTCAAGTGATTCTCCTGCCTCAGCCTCCTGAGTAGCTAGGATCACAGGTGTCTGCCACCCTGCTCAGCTAATTTTGTATTTTTAGTAGAGATGGGGTTTCGCCATGTTGGCCAGGCTGGTCTCAAGCTCCTGGCCTCAGGTGATCCACCTGCCTCGGCCTCCCAGAGTGCTGGGATTACAGGTGTGAGCCACTGCACCTAGCCATAGGAGAGCTTCATTCAGGTGCTGGGAGGGTGGTGCACCTGGGGAAGGCGTAGAGGCTCTGTGCCCCTGCCCCCATACCTCGTCCTAGGCATCTCTTCCATTTGTCTGTTCCTGAGTTGAATCTTTTATAATAAGCTGGCAATAGTAAGTAAAATATT